CTCTCAGTCTCTCCCGTGGCCTCATTTTTGTGTCTCATTTGTCTTTACTTTGTCTTGTCTTTTACCATTTGTGTCTGTTTGTTTTTTGTATTTTTCTTTTCTCTTTTTTTTTTTTGTCATTTTGTGATATTTCATCCAAACCCCCTCATTCCACTGTAGGAACTGGAGGCTCCACACATGAAGACATCGTGTTGCTGAGTTATTCTGTGTGTCAGTGTTTCACCAGCTTTATGTTCATGTTCTGCAGGAGTGGAAGGAGCGTTATGGAAACCCAAGGGAGGACTTTGCTGCGAGGAACCGGAGCAGCCATGAGATGAAGGAAACCAATTATTCCGACTCTGTGACGTCCAACAACAGACGTAAGACTTCAGATCTCTGCTGCTCGGTGTGGCTTTAATCTGAACTAACAGGTTTTCTGCTGCTCTATCTTGAACAGAAGCTAAATACTCTCGTTCTGGGAGTCGAGCAGAGAGGGACTGCATCGAGCTGCTGCAGGATGCCGAACCTCTGGACTTCAATGCCGACAGTCTGACAGACGACGCTCTGGACACCGAATCCACCAGGTAAACAGAACCTTTATCAGTCCACCATCCATACATCCTGATGCTGCCACCGCCGTGCTTCACGTCATGATGCTGCTACAGGTGGCCTCCCTCTCTAGTCTCCTTCTTGCTCGGTCACTCAGTCTCTGAGGACGTCCTGCTCTAGTCAGATCTCCTCATGGTCCATGTTCCTTCCATGTCTTAATGATGGGTTTAACTGGACTCCAGAGATGTTCAGGAACTTGTAGATGTTCTTGTATCGTCTCCTGACTGATGCATCTCAACAACCTTTCCTAGAGTTCTTGGAGGGTTCTTCAGTCTTCATGGTGTGGTTCTATCCAGGAGTTCTGATCCACCAGGGACTGGACCTTCCAGAAACACAAGTCTTTATACTACAACCACTGCGACTCATTCACTGACCTCAGATGATGCGTTTACTGACTGTAGGACTTCTGGCACCACCTGACTGAGTTACATTAGACTCACTTTAAGGGAGGTCAATACTTATGATTCACTGGTTTTACAGTTTATAGTTTTAATTAACGTCCATTATTTAGTAGAAATCTGTTTTCACTTTTACATGAAAGAGTGTTTTTTGTAAATTCTTGTGTAAAAGCTAAATGGAACTCAGCATGACTCGGTGCTGAGCAGCGCTACCAGGAGACGGCTGCTCTGGGTGAAGCTTTGTGTGTCTCTGATGCTGTTTTATCAGTTTGGCATGTTAGTTTGACCCTCAGTAACGTTCTGTAAACCTTCAGTAAACATTCTGTAAACATTTGGTAAACGTTCTGTAAGTTCAGTAAATGTTCAGTCAACGTTCTGTAAGCGTTCAGTAATGTTTAGTAAACACTAAATCGGAGGGGCGCTGCTGCAGCTCACCTGGTGGAGCTGGCGTCCCATGTGCAGGGCTCCAGTCCCCATGTGGAGGTCGTGGGTTCGAGTCCCGCTCAGGGCCCTGTCCCACACGTCCTCCCCCCATCCTGTCTGTCTCTCGCTGCTCTATCAATAAAGGCACAAAGGCCAAAACAATAACTTGAAAAACCACTGACCCAACCATCTCCATCAGGTTGGACCAGTGTCCACAGGTCCTCTGCTCTTCCACCTGATGGAAACACTGGATTGATCCTCGAAGCTTTGTAGAACCTTTTTTCTCCTGGAGGCGGGTCTGGACCTACCAGAACCAGCTGGTCTGGGCTGATGTGTTTCTGGTTGTGTGTGTTTGTCCTTCAGGCACGCAGGAGGACGTTACCTGTCCATGTCTTCATCCCGGAACCGGATATTTGACGACGTCTAACAGGGAGAAGAACCTGAGCAGAACCACGACCTGGATCATCACTGCCGACCTGCAGAGCGACACACCGCATGAGCTCCGCCCACCTCCCAGCATGCACTGCTCCTCGACCTCCAGGTCCGCTGGTGAAGCTTCTTCATGAACGTCAGAACCTTCAGTTGACACATGGGTTGGTGTGAATGTGTGAACTGAGCGCGCTCAGCAGACACCCGTCACTTTAGCCAGAGCTTAGTTCCCCTTATTTATGTTTCTTATCTTTATGCTGGTGTTGTGGATTATTTATAGCGTCGTTACCATGGAAACGGTTCTCACTGATTAACCTGCACTGGATCTAAAACAGTCTGAATGAATCTATGGGTTGATTTAAGAACCTGAACATCTTTTATCACTGGTTCACCAACACTTCCTGTTTAAAGGTAAACACTCACCTGTTGTGTTGTAGTCCTGAATGTCAGATGTTTTCTCTATTCTCAATCAAAGAAAAACACGAGTGATCTTTAAAGAACTGTTCTGTGTGGTTCTGCTTCAGTCACGCCTCCCTTCCAGACAGTCGCTGGTTGTCAGAGCTCTCAGGGCCGATACTGATCATCAGTGATGAAGGAGATCAATAGCTGATCAGCATTTACAGCAGGAATAAGAAATCAACGTGTGAAAATTCAGAACAATGCAAAATTTGGATTTGTTGACATCTTTTATAAAACCTTCATCCTTCAGTGCTGATTGGCCATTACTGGTGATGCATAGCCAATCACAGGGAGCCGTGGGCGGGGCTTAGCGGTGACCTCAGCTTGTTTAATTCACAGGAATCTGGCTCCACGCATCGCTGAGCTCAGACTGATGACTAGGTTCAGACGTCTGTGCCGCTCTATGATAATATGAAGGACAAGCGCAGACGACTGGTTCTGGTTCTGTTCCAGGTCGTGTCAGGTGTTTGTTCTGCTGCTGGAGGTGAAGACAGACGGATGTAAGTTTAAACTGCCACAGAATTCCTTTAAGATGAAGTAGATCAGAACTACCCAGCGGGTGCCTGGAACGTCAGTGTTAGTGGCTGACAGGAAGCATCGGGCCGGTTCTTTAAAGTTCTGCTGTAGAAGAAGGTTTCCTGCCGGCGGGTTCAGCTCAGAACTCCAGCTCACTTTGTAAATATGTACCATAGGTTTTGTATTTATGGTTGTTTCTGCAGCTTGTTTCCTCTGAGCGTGGTGACGTGTTTCTGCTGATTCTGGTGATGTTCTCCTCTGATGTCTGGTTGTCCGTCCTGATCTCAGCAGCTTCTGTGGTTCTGGTGTGATTCACAGCAGCCATGTTTGCTCTGCCGCCGCCGCCGTCGTGTCAATAAAGTGATCAAACGTTCTGGCTGTCTGCCTGGTTCCTGTCACATGTACGATCGGTTCCACCAGAACTCTGATGTTTATGAAGGTCTCTGTGGACGATGGCTTCATGGGACCAGAACAGAGCATCGGTGGACAGTCTGATCCAAGCAGAGTTCTGGAGTTCAACATGCTTCCAGACAACAATCTTTTTATAACGAGCATATTTCTTTGAAATAGGGGAAGGCCACGTCAACATTTTAAAGTTTAAATGGAGTCTGTAGGTGAAAGCATGGCTGAGCAGTGGAGGTTTGAAAAGTAGTGTGGTTTTGTGTGTTTTTTTCGTCCGTCCCATTCATTTTCAATGGGAGGTTTTTGCGACGTTTTTTGCGAATTGTGTCGCGAAAAATGCGATTTTTGTAAATCTGTATGTAAGCACACGATTCCCGATCGAGCCGCACGTTTTGATATATAATTTGTGTGGGTGCTCTCAAATCTGTGGGAGGAGTAGGCGACCGAAAAGTTGTACGGATGAGTAGAAATAAGAAGCGCAGCAGGATGAGAGCAGTGGCCTCCGGCTCAGCCCGACAGCTACAAACTCTGTAAAACAATGAAACCTTTGTGTAACACTCTATACAATATAAAAGAAATGTATAAAACAAGCAAGAAGAACTCTATGTAAAAAGATGACATTAAATAATGAGCACGGTGCATACTGCACAGAGTGGATACTGGGCAGCGGCAGTGGAGGTGTTTATTGTTCTAACAGCAGTCTGTTGGTCCTGGTTCTGATGGACCTGTACCATCTGCCCAACGGCAGCAGCTCTAACAGGAAGTGTCCTGGGTGGTAGGAGTCCTTCAGGATGGTGTTGGCTCTCCTCTCTATGAGCCATGAAGGTCCTCCAGTGTGGGCAGAGGACACCCAGTGACCGTCTCAGCCGTTCTGGTGACCCTCTGGAGGTCCTTCCTGTTTGCCGCTGTGCAGCTGGTGAACCACGTCCAGAGGCAGAAGGTGAGGATGCTCTCCATGGTGGAGCGGTAAGAAGACACCAGCAGTCTCTGGCTGATGTTCGTCCTGAGGATTCTCAGGAAGTCTTGTTCGTGCCTTCTTCACCAGCTGCGTGGTGTTCTTCCTCCAGCCCAGTGTGGACTCCCAGGAAGCTGAAGCCACTGACGGTCCCACCGGGGAGGACGGGCTGAGTGTCCGTTCTCAGCCCGTACAACTCTGAACGCTGCTGGTTTGATGAGCTGATGTGATTATTTTGAATTCAATCGATCAGATATTGATCGGCTGTGATTGGGTCGGTACCATCTCACTTCCTGTTGGACTAAGAACTGAGTTTGTCCTCTGACTTCATTAAACATCCAACAGCAGCTGGATCCAACCAGAACCTGCATTTACAGCAGGAACCAGTTCTGCCCCTGTTCAGGTGCTGCAAAACATGTCAAAGAACCAGAACCAGAACCAGGACATGGACCACCTGAACTAGGACCAGGACCACAACCACAACCGAGACTAGGACGAGGACCAACCAGACCAGGACCATCAGAAATCATGGTTCAGAACTCAATGTTCTTCAAACGTTCTCTGAACTTTGGACTTTATGTCTGACGTGGTTTCAGGTTCATCTCATATAATTAGAATACGGAGCAAAACGTTTCCGTGAAATGTTCTGGACTCTTGGACACGAACTGTTTCAGTCCGTTGGTTGTAATAACAGAATAAACTTTATTTGTACAGAACCTACATATCGAGCCTGTACATGAGACAGAACACAGCAGCTGTATGATAAGTGCAGCGAACACAGAACATCCGAACCCGCACTGACATGAAGCAGCGGGCCGGACCGGGCCGGGCCGGGCCGGGCCGCAGCTGGGACGGTTACTACAATGAAACCAGTGAAGCGGGTCAAAGACACGTCACGGAGAATTCACGGCCCTGAACGGATCCGTTGACATGTTCTGATATTCACTGTTGTCTGTTCGGAGGAACAATCAGAACCGGAACCCGTTCTCTACCAACACTACCAGAACGCTTCCTGCCTGCTGCGGCGTCGTGACGTAGGACGCACGGAGCCAGCCGCAGCGTCGTCTCCACGGTGACGCGCTGTGTTTTTCGCTGCCATGGCAACGGGAACATCCGCCGCTGTTTGCGTTTTAAGTGAGAAACAACCGATTAACGGAGCCGACCCGAACATGCTGCTCGGACGGACCGGAACCGGACGTCGGGAGTTCACCGGACCGACACCGAACTCAGTGGCTGTGGTGAGAAAATAGCCTCAAGTAGAAATACTGCAGTAAAAGTACTGTGATACCTGTTAAAGGAGAGAAGGAGCAGTACGGTGTAGTACTCAGAGTATTACCAGAATACAACGGATTCACAAAGTAACGAGTAGCTAAAGTTATCAAAGTAATGGCAAGTAGTGGAGTAAAAAGTACAACATCTGCCTGTGAATACAGTAATGTCCAGAGTACTGCAGTAACATACGAAGTACTGCAGTAATACATGAAGTATTGCAATAGCATAACAAGTACTGCAGTAATACATGAAATACTGCAGTAATATATGAAGTAATGCAGTAACATATGAAATTCTGCAGTAACACATGAAGTACTGCAGTAACACATGAAGTACTGCAGTAACACATGAAGTACTGCAGTAATACATGAAGTACTGCAGTGATACATGAATTACTGCAGTAATATATGAAGTACTGCAGTAATACATGAAGTACTGCAATAGCATATGAAGTACTGCAGTAACATATGAAGTACTGCAGTAACATATGAAGTACTGCAGTAATGTCCAGAGTACTGCAGTAATATATGAAGTACTGCAGTAATGTCCAGAGTAATGCAGTAATATATGAAGTACTGCAGTAATACATGAAATACTGCA